GGGTAAGTACTGGTGTCTCCACGCCGCTGCAGAGCGCTGAAGTGGACGGGCGTGCTTTATGGCACAGCGTCAGCTGTGGACAGCGAGAACAGCAGCCTGCCGCAAGCCCTTCTTCACCCGCGTGCCTGCGGGTACGGCTACAGCCCTCCCAGCGCGCAGGCTGAGCCCGCACCCGCACGCGCCCCTCCGGAGGGCGGCTGATCACCGCTGTGTGAAGCAGCGTCAGCCTGGCCTTCGTTGCACCGCTCCGTGCCGGGATCGCTGTTTGCGCTGCAATTGGTCCTGCCTTGAACAGTCCTGGGTGATCTGTGACTTCTCCCTGTTGTGGTCGTGGGGTGAAGACTAATTTTCCCTGTTACCATAGTTAAAAAATGTAGCACCGCAGTGTTTTGTTTTGTTTTTTTTTCTCAGCGCTTTGCGTTCACGTAGCTGTTCAAAACAGAGAAAACACATAAACGACCAACTTTGCTTATTGCTTGAAGCCGCTATTTGAGCACTGAGCAGTCATTTAATTTTGGTATGAGGTGAAAGTTTGGGCCAGGTGGTACCTCTTGGTCCACAATCGCAACATCAAGAGCAGTTTTCAGTGGGGAGAATATCGTGCTGTAAGCGGTGTACAGGCAAACACCCTCGAGCTTTGCAGATGACCCCCACAACTACCCTGTTTCTTGCTAACTAACCAACCTCCCATGATTGCTGCAGAGCTACAAAGTGACTCTTTCTGCTTTCCTTTTTTCTGTATACTGCTTTTTTTAATTGGCCTCACTAATTAAAGCAATTAATTAATTTTGAATAACATTTTCTCTGGGATCGTACGCTGTCCTCTGCTAGTTGGACTCTCAGCCAGGGTCTTGTCCATGTAAAAGCAACAACGTAAGTCCTGGTGTCTCCATCGCACTCCTGCGCCCTGACCCTTCCTCTCTCCCAGCTAAAAGCTCACCCGGCAAGGAAATGCAGGATGCTTGAAGCCGATTAATTCCACGGCAGCGGGAGCGCTCCACACTGTCCAAATTACATGCAGCACCTGGCAGGGTCAAGAGACCAACCAAGTAGGAACATTAAAAAAAAGGACTAAAACCACAACAGGAACAATATTTGACCGCCTGAATACAGGCAGGACCCACAGAGAGACAGCAGTGACAGGTTTGGGCCCTTTTTGGTCTGAATTTAAATTTGCTTCTACCTGGCTGGTCTGTTTGCTTGCTGAACAAATAAGGTAAAGAGAAAAATAACTCATGAATGCCAAACAGCAAATATTTCATATGCATGATTTATTTTAAAGTTTATTGCGTCACATTATACAAGCATTAAACATGGCTTTATGTTGATGATTTTTTTTTTAAAGTGTGAAAACTTGACATTCTTCTCCATAGGATTTTTCTATTTACAAATAAACAATCTCTCTATATACTATATATATATATAACTCCCCTCAGAAAGATTTGAAATAAAAAAGAACTGATTTGTAAACATGGTTCCTGTTGTAGTATTTGGTGGCTTGAGCGCAGATGATGTTCTACACCTAGGATTTTTCCTTTGTCAAAGTATCCAGGTTGTTCATTTACATTTTTTTATTCCAGGATCTGTAAAACCAGCATGGGACAGAATGCAAAAAACGTAGCAAACAGGCTGAAAAACAGTCCCAATATACAGTTTTTTTCCTTGGTTTTAAAAACTGGCGTGTAACTGCTCATGAAGTACATGCTTGCTGTCAAGAGTGGTCTATGGAGATCAATCCTATGCTGATTGCAAGATGATTTCACAGTAAATCCTTTGATGTGTGCTGTCCTGCTTGCTATGTAAAATGTCTGTGGCATGCACTGAGATTGCGTTTTTTCTCATTCCCTTGAAGGTAGTGCTCTTGTGGAGCTGGAATAAGTAAACAACATACAGGACGGTCACCTGGAGGTTTAAACAAAACCCATCATCAGATCAGAAAGAAGGGAATGGCATAAATTCGCTATCTAGAGACGAGTAAAATTCCATTTACCATTGTTAGCCTATTATTTGTATTACATTTTTCCCAATTAATAAAGTAAATGAAAAGGGGTCATCTTTCGGGACTGTTCTGCTACATGGCTCTGAAGAACTCGGGGGAAATCTACCCAGCAGACCAGCAGCACAGAAACCTCGGTGTGTTGACTGGTCAACATCAAGTGGCAGAAATGTGCTCGGGATCTGCCGGGGAGGTCAGAGCCCCTTCCAGCGTCGTGCTCGGCACACGCTTGCTAAGCAGCCAGCTCATGTGCTCATTTAGAGCAGAACAGGACACAGCTTCTAGCAAGGTACTGTCATGAAAAGTCATCGTGATGTAGTTGAAAACCAGTCTCAAAAGCAGTTATTATCTGTTGTATTTCTGCTGCGCTTTATTTGTTTTGGCATGTTATATCGGGGTGGTTCCTCTGGAGTGGAAGTCAGTTTATATTCTACCAGATTTCAGTTCAGTTCTTGGAAGTTATTGAGACCTACATTGGCAAAGCTGTATCTTACTGCAGGTGTTTGCAAAGGTTCACACTCACATGGGTGACACTGATTTTACGCATGACTCACATCTCACTTTACTACTTAGCAAACAGTTTCTAAGCTCTTGTCATCCATTGGCTTAGATATTAAACAGAGGGAATGCAAACTAAACCAATTGCTCAGGTGAATTTGGTCTGAATGTGATTGTGCACAGCGATCCTGCCCGAGAGTCCCCAGACTGCAAGTGCAGTGCACACCCGCACGAGGTGGGCGGTAAATACCGACCCGTCCGGCATGTGTGCGTCGGAGGATCACATTGCCTAACCCCACCCCCTATTTACAGAGGCAGAAATACCCCCCTTTCTCCACTGCCCGCATGGGATGTGCCCGCAGCTGCCATAAGGTGAAGCGAAGATGAACCGGTTCACTTCCTCATCAGGCAGGAATACACCCCACAACCACCAGCCGTGCTCCCCACTCAGTTTGGCGCCGAGTCAACAGAGAACAGATTAATCCCCAAATTCCTTCGGTGCTTATGTTGCCTCATGGCACCTTCAGGCTGATAAATGAGGGCTGCTGTGCCATTTATCCTCTCCACATAGGGTGATGGGTCGCGCTAGAGGAGATTCCTTGCTGCAACGAAGCAAAGTGTAGGCAGGCAGTGGCTACAGAGATGAGGGTGCATACGTTTTCTTCCACCTCTCTCCTTCCTCAAGCTGTATCACCTTTCCTTAAAACCTCCCCCCCTGCCCCTGCATGGAAATAGCACAGTTCTCCCTTGCAGTGGAGGGAAGTTAATAGATCTAATTTAGCAATATGGGAACTTGGTGCAAGCGGTCCTGATGTCTTGTGGAGCCTGAGGCATCCATCCGTAGGGTCTTGCATTGTGTGGTCTGTCCAGAAGGGCACATTCTAGCCTTTCTATAGAATGATTTCCAGGAAAACTTGTAGAAACAACTTGCTGAATTTTCCTCCCTCTTAAATATCTTCAAACTAACAAGGTCTCAGTTCCTTAAGATTTCTGAGAAAATTATAATTTTTGTGGAGCTCCAGTTACTTGGAAAAGGGCTAAGCAGACGGATCAGCTGCAGTGTTTTGTATCCTGCTGTATCCTCACCAGGACACAGGCTTGCTTCCACCTGGCTTCTTACAGTCTTGGCTTTTGAACTTCCTTCTTCGTGTTATAGCTGATTACGCCACTTCATGTTCTGCAAGAATTGCAGCGTTATCACTTTGAAGCAAGGGGTGGCAGAGCTTTCACAACACTCAGCATTTCGGTTCATGTTGCTCCACCCAACACTCCTGCAGTCTTCAGACCTACAACTCCACTATTTTGGGTTAACGATCTGGGAAATTTTTAATTTCTTAATGCTGAAGAATTTGCAAAAGGATACAGACAGTGGCCCATTTCACCCCAATCTAATTCTGAAGCCTGTGTAGAATTGCTCTGCACGAAGGATTTCAAGCTATTTCATGCTACAGTCTCTTGTTTTATTTTTCCCCTCCGTCTCATCCTAGATAACGCAAGGGTGAATAAGGAAAATGTTACAAGTGTAGAGATTCTGGATGACTCTGTTCTTTTGCTCTGCTGACCTTGTTCATCTATTGGGTTTTTTTTGTTTGTTTTACTTATCCAGATAGTTTTTAAGAGGCAGTCTGTCTTCTGTTACGTGTATCATACACCCTAATTCCTGGCAAGGCCTCAATGCCACCTTGCAATACAAATACAGGGGCAGTTCTGGGCGAGATGCTCTAGCCTGATTTGTTTCCTTCAGACACCAGACAATCCTAAGCTGAAAAGGCACTGCTCAAATCTTTAAAACATATTACCAACTTTTCACAGTACCATTTCCAAATAAATGACCCTACAGTCAGGTACATTTAGATGCTCGTCTATCTGTCAGCACTTCTGCACACCTAAATTTTTCAGCATTGTTAGACCAGTTGAGTAGACTCACAATCAAGGATCTCCTCCTAAAAAATACTTCAGTATTGTTGGAGCAATGGAAATGGTCCCCATATATGACCTTAACTCGTGCTAAATGCAAGCTAACACAGCTTAGTCCACGGTGGAAGAGGGCAACGTTGCCATGCATGTGCTGCTGGTGGTAGCCACACACATGGACAAGTACTGCCATGTTGCCAACGCACAGTCACTGGTTATGAAGGAGAACTTGGTCATGAGAACGAGCCATAAGATCACTGAGTTCTGTAAAGCACTGTAAGATATATGACTGCTTTCAAGTTCAGGGCCTTAAATCAAATCAGGGCCTGGGGAGCTTCCTGGGAAAAGTGCAGAGGCTTAAGCATTGATCTGCTCATGCTGACATTAGCTCTGGAGAAGGCTAAGCCTTGCAAGACCTCTAATTTCAAAAGGCTTATGGCAATATGCACCCTATTGAACACGGGCGCACATGTGCTAAGTGCACACAGCACTGGCTGACTATTCCTTTCAGTGCACTCTCCACTGTAGAAAACCAGGACTTTTTTATAAACAGAATTCCTATCTTCTTTTAAGCAGTTTCTTCCTCACCCCATCATGGCCACTCATTGTGATAAGATTTTCCGTTCTTCTTCCTTTCCTTCCTCTCTTTCTGCAGACGTTCCAGTTCAGCTTCATACATCATTTCCTGAATCAGGTACTTTTCTCTCCTCATCCGATCTCTCAGATCTTTTGGGAGATCTGGGATTAAGTAGGAAATCAGGTGCTTTATGCAGAAGACAAGGTGCTGTGAAAACAAAAAAGGGACAAAAATTTAAAAACTCGGGAAGAAAACAAGTACTTTCCATAACTTCTGAAATCCCTCTCCTTCCAATTCACAAAAAGATGCTGTGTTAGAACTAAATCCATTATTAAATTTGAAGAAACCAAACCATGAAGTTTTTTTCCCCACAAAAACTCCAGCCAAAGTCAGTGGAGTATGGATTGCAGCAAAGGTTATGAGCAGCTGGCTTCAAATAAAGCCTCAAAACTGTTGCATAACTTGTGTGTTCAAACCCTAGAGGTCATGATTTGCTGTAAGGTTGTTTGGGCAGGGCCTGGTATTTGTGGATTGCTCTGCAGGAAGAGCAGGATCAAACGATATAATACTTTCCTGTTGCCATAAACCCTTGCATCAGTAGCAGAACCAATGAATTGCCTATGCAAAACAAAGCATTTTTCTTATACTGTGTCTCTCATCCAAAGACATGTTCCCATTTACTAAACATCATGTTTTAGGCATAGAATCATAGGATGTTTGGGGTTGGAAGGGACCCCTAGAGGTCATCTAGTCCAACCCCCCTGCAGGAGCAGGGACACCGCTAGCTAGATCAGGTTGCTCAGAGCCCCGTCCAACCTGGCCTTGAATGTTTCCAGGGATGGGGCCTCCACTACCTCTCTGG